TTCAACAGACACTGAGTGCCTCTACTACAGGCTAAAACTAGGCGACTGGAATTCAAACAGGTTTGCCCACGTGGTGAGGGACCAGGCACTGAGGTGTCCCGGGGCTGGGGGGCAGGTGTAGGCGGCCAACCCTGACCTGGGCGGAGCAAAGCCACACGATCTGCCACTCCACTGCTACCTAATGTCCTTACCGAAACAGGTTTGGTAGAGCCTTTTCTAGGAAACTCCAGCCTAAGCAATGCAGAGTTGAAATGTAGGTGTAGCCTAATTTGAATGTGTCCATCAAAAAGAGGGCGGGTATAGCAGGCGGAGCGTAAAGCAGGGAAGATTTCAGCTGCTGTTGGGGGGCGCCAGTAACAGTTTCTTCTTGGTCTTTCTTTTGGAAGGAAATATCAGAGTGCATGGGTAAGTCTTGTTTCGTGGATCTCTGCCTTTTTTTTTTCAGATATGGGGGAAGGTGTGTGGTATTGAGTTCACCACTTAGAATGTATTTTTAACGTGGGTCCTGTTCAAAAGGTTTTGAAAAACCATGGACAGGAAGGGTTTCATCATCCTAGAACCAGTGGGGACGGACCTTGGCTAGGAGACTTCTAGTGTTTAACTGCCTTGGGCCACCGGCCTCAAACTTCTAACACAGACAAAGGAGGGAAACAAATACACTTTCATGAAAATAGATGCCTGGTTGAAATTTCCTTGAAGTTGCATTTTTTAAATTTTGTTTGAAAAATTCATATATTTCACTGCAACAAATGGCTAGATATATATTAAAATATTTATATTAAAATGTTCACATTATTAAATCAAGAGAGTATAGCTGTTTTCCATTTCTTCCCTCCTCTGATTATCTCTGAAAGTGACCCTACCATCTACCAGTTACTCCAGCAAAAAACCGAACACCGCTTGGTCATTATTGTTTTCCCTGTTTGCCTTACTCCCTTTATCCAATCCTCAAGGAAGTTTAGAACGTTCTATCTCTGTTTTCCCTCTCCCGCCATTTCATCTTCACTACCAATACCAGCACTCTTTCTGGACTGCTAAATAGCCTAATGGATTTTTCTGCTTTCACCCCTGCCTCCCTAAGTCTACTCTCCACATACCTGTTTAACCTCAGCCAGAGCATGCTATTTCCTGGTTTGAAAGAAACCCTGTAATGGTTCCCATGGGTTTGTGAAAGAAATGTAAATGGCTCCCCTGGCTCACAAGATTCTGCAAGGTCCCCCACCTTATCTCAGACCACTCCGGTCTGTGCCAGCCATAGTCTGTAATAAACATGTCTTCCTTTGTCCTCCAGCATGCAAATCCCTTTGTACTCCCTGCTATAACCTGGAAAGAGCACTCTCCTCCCACCTCTTTCCACTGGCTGATACTTTTTTTTCAGGTCTCAGCCTAAGCCTAATGCCCCACCCCCCCACCTTGGATGCTGTTGCAGACATTCTTCCTTAAGATGGCCTCCCCCATTTCCTTTCCTTCTCATACTCTAGTCGCTTATACTTCATAGCATTTTACTCAACCTGAAACCATTTTGTTTACTTACATTTTTATTTTACACAATAAAAGCTCCATGAAAACCAGGAACTTTGGATCTTTTTTTACTGTTCTAGGGTGAACACCTAGAACAATGTTTGGTACTAAATATTTGTCAAATGATTGAATAAGTAACTGATGCACTCTTGGAAGCACCTTTATGCCAGTTTGAGAAATATAAAATTATATTATTGTCATACCATTAAGTATTTAATATCCAGATTCTGTCTTAACACCATGTTTACCGAGTACATTTTCCAAGTAGTTATTTCCACCAACAGAGAATGTACTTGTTATATAAACTGGATTTCCCATAATAAATTAGTAAGTTAGTATTTCAGTTTTTACATCACTCACAAGCTTGAATTTTGTGTAAGAAATGGGAGGATCTGTCAAATAAAATCTAGCTTAGAAAAGTAAGGGCTACATTTGGCTTTGATAAGTTCATAAAGAAAATACTTCTCTCTTTCAATCCCGATCTCCTAATTAGATGTCTTTTTCTAGGTAACATTTGGCATCATTGATAATCAACTTTTTGGAACCTCTACATTAAGTGTTTTGAAAGTCACAAATAATTTTTTAGTAAATTAATTTTATAGATTTGCTAAACCAGTATCACCAGTATGATTATTAATGCATATATATATGAATTCATTTCATTAGACAAATGTTCTAAGCCCTGGGACATAGGAATAAAGCAGAAGAGGACCTTGCCCTCATAGACCTTACAGTCTAATAGGTAAGACAGATCTTAAAGTAATCGGTACCAGAGACTGATCAGTGTAAAAGAGGAAGTTTTGGGAACCTAACTGAGCCTAAGAATGAAGGGAAACTTGCTTGAGGAAGTGATGTTTAAGCAGAGGTCAGAAATATGGATGAGAAATGAGCTTGTGTGAGCGTGTGTGCGCACTAATAAGGGAAGGAGGAGTGAGGGTGGGCAGGATTAAGAAGGAACAGCATACTGCTTTATTGGAGGGAGAGTTTATTATGGCTGAAAATAAAATAGGGGAGCTGAAATTAGCAAGACATAAACTGGGAGAGAAAAGCTGGAATCAAATCAAATTCCATGTATTTTAAATGGCCTCAATGGGGGAGGGGAGTTTTGTATTATCCTACTCAAACTTTAGACTGATTGCTAGTGATTCTGTCCAAAGAGGTTATATTCATTAATACAAAAAATAAAAAATCAAGAATAATTTTTAGCTAAGAGAACAAGATTTTGTTAGGCAAATTTTCCTGAATACAGTCTCCTGGTTTATTTCACCTTTTTAAAAGAAGCAATAAATAATAATACTTGTACCATTTAACATTTTATCTATCTATCTATCTATCTATATACGTATGTAGATAGATAGATAGATAGATATACACACATATATATATAGCTTGAAAATATTTTTAAATACCTGTGCTTTTCAATTGCTAAGGAAATAATGTTTTAAGTTTCTTAAACATTTGTATATATATATTACATAGAAATATATATACAAATGCTTAAGAAGAAATTCAAATCTCTTCCCTTAGCAATTTATATATATAAAACATTTACGTATTGTACATAAATAATTTATTTATAATTTATATTTAATTTTTTTAATGTTTATTTATTTTGAGAGAGGGGAGAAAGATGGAATCCAAAGCAGGCTCCAGGCTCTGAGCTGCCAGCACAGGGCCCAATACGGGGCTCGAACTCACTAGCCCTGAGATCATGACCTAAGCTGAAGTAGAATGCTTTACCTACTGAGCCACCCAGTGACCCTATAATTTATATTTTAAGTCTGTAATTTACATAAAACATTATGCACTGTATATTTATATATATAAATGTTCAAGGAGGCATTTCAAAAATCTTCCCATAGCAATTGAAAAACATGTTTTGTTTTGATGCTGTGTATTTGACAAAAGTAAATAGCATGATTCTTTTGAGGTGGTATTTTTAAATGTAGCTATTTAAAAATATTTTCAAGCTGTTAGTTTTCTGTCCATTACCTTCACATTTACTCCTTTATAAAAAGCATTTTAATTTTTGTCCTACAGCAGGACATCAGGACAATAAAATTAAGAGATCTTCTATAAGGCACACAATTGTAACATTAAGTAAAAGGCTCTTAGAATATATCATATTCATGCTCTAACTTTTATAATATTGCTTTTAGATTTTTGAATTTTTTTTAATTCATTTATTTTGAGAGAGACAGAGAAGTGAGAAGGGTGGGGAGGGGCAGAGACAGACAGAATCCCAAGCAGGCTGTCAGCATGGAGCTCATGTGGGCCCCGAACTCATGAACCATGAGATCATGACCTGAGCCAAAATCAAGAGATTTTTCTGAACTTATTGAGCCACCCAGGCACCCCACTTTTAGATTTTTAAGAAAAAGACAGAAAACTATTCAAGGCTAAACTCCGCTTGCCTTTATTTTGGCTTATACTTGTAAAAGATGGCAACGCATGGATTTCATGTGTCTTCTTTCTGAATCTCCATCTTGTGAAGAAGAAACAGAAACTACACATGGGCCAAATCCAGCCTCTGCTTGTTTTGTTGGAATGCATGCTCGTCCTTTATGTATCATCCATGGCTGCTTCCATATGACAAAATGCAGAGCTGAACAGTTATGACATAGACCATAGGGCCCACGACGCTTAAATCTAGCTCTTTATTAAATTAAAAAAAAAAAAAAATGCCACCCTTGGTCTAGAATAGTATCTGGAACATCACAGGATCCACCATATATTTAATGAATACAAAGGTAAATAACACTAGCTCACATAAACATTCAGCATTTGCTCTGTGCCATGATCTGTGCTAAGCACTTTATATGCATTATTTAATTTGAATTTCCCAACAGTGTTATATAAGAAAATAGGCACATCTTACTCCCTCAGTTGCTTCAAGTTTTTAGTCAACTGCTTCTACCTCAGGCAAGCCTGCCTGAGCTCCCTATTTAAAACTGAGAACTCCTACTTTTTACTAGCTCCCTTGCTTATTCTGTAGCACTTTACCTTTTAACGTGTGACATATAATACTTATTTTGTATATTCACGAGACTGTATACTCGTGAGGCACAGATTTTTTGTATGTCTACTTACCAATAGATCTCAACCTATGAGCAGCCTACAGTAGGGCTAGCACATAGTGAGTACCCAGTAAACATTAGGTGGTCAGTTGGAGAGGGCAGATAATTTGTGGGGACCCCCACATAAGATCTAGTTATAATCCACATCCTGTGTCACAGCTCATTCTCTTACTTTCTTGGGTTTGTCAGAGAAGAAGCAAATGCAGCCATTTCGCTATTAAAAAGTGAGTTTGAGGCCATTTTTTAAGCTCTGACAGTGGTTCTAAAGTTGGAATATAGTTTATCTAAAGGTTACTATCTCAAAGCAGGTGTTTGCTGAAGGCAGTTTACTCAGATCACTATCACCTGGAAGTGGTTGATATATCCTGGTACAAACCTTCAAGGAAGAAGCAACACGACAATATGGACCAGCAACTGAAGAAAAAGGTAAAGACTTGTGGCTGGAAAGGCTTGGGTAGAAGAGCCTTCAGTGGGGATAAACCAAAGCCATCCAAGCCACGGCCAGCCCAACAAGAACCTTTTGACATGCCATGGGCCTTAGAAGATGAAGGTGTATTCTTTGAAAGTAGCCACCTAGTTGTTGGAGAAGATTCCTTCTCTGATTGTTACATAGAATGCATAATAAGAGGTGAGTTTTCTGAACCCATCCTGGAAGAAGACTCACTGAAGTCCCCTAACTACCAGGAAGAAGAATCAGAACAAGAGCTTTCTCAACAGGTTCTTACTGCAAGCTCGCTTCTGGGGAAATCCTTGAAATGTGTGCAAAAAGGGGCAAAACAAGAACTTTCTCAGCAGACTGGAGAGAATTCACAGCTTGAGTATTCAGAGTATGAGACAGGCAAGAAGCTTTCTCCTGGAGGAATACCCAGCACTGATGTATCAGATCCTAAACAGTTTGCAGAATTTGCTAGAAAGAAGCCCACAAAAAATAAGGAATATGATGCTCCAGAAAGAATTGTTTGTCCTCACAGTGGATGCACAAAAAAGTTAAAGAATAGAGCTTCCCTGAGAAGGCATCTCCTCGTTCATGCTCCCCGAGATCATGTATGTGCAGAATGTGGGAAAGCATTCAATGAGAGTGCAAAACTAAAAAGACATTTTCTGGTTCATACTGGAGAGAGGCCATTTCGGTGTACTTTTGAAGGGTGCGGAAAACGTTTTTCCCTGGACTATAATTTGCGTACCCACGTACGTATCCATACTGGGGAGAAACGTTTTGTGTGTCCCTTTGAAAGCTGTCACAAGAGGTTTGTCCAGTCAAATAACCTGAAAGTTCATATGTTAACTCATGCAAAGACCAACAAAAATCCGTGAAAGAGAAGATAGAAAATAATCCTTAAACAAGATGAGCATATTAACAAAATAGTGATTTGGGGACATATGTACCTTATTACTATCTCCCAAAAAGAACTTTTTCAAGCAATTACAACCCTACATGGTATATATTTTTTTAATGTTACTACAATGCTCCTAAAACTTATGGTATCATTTTAGAACATTTTAGAGCATTTGCTAAATGCTCAATTTCCAACAGTGTATTTCTAATGGGAAGACCAGTAATTAATTTACTTCAAAAGCATAATCCTTAATACATTATGAATTGGATTGCTAGATTTTCACAGGCTATAAGTACGAAATTAACTTTTTAAAGTGTGTAGTTGCGAATTGTTTAGCTTTTGCCTTTTAGGAATAAACTTCATGCTACGTGTGATAATCATAGAGAATGAAAATTTTGCTGTAGATTGTCAATAAGTAAATGAGTAGTTAAACATTTTTAAAAGATAAATATTTTTTAATCCTTTTTTATCATTGTATGAAACTATACTGAAATCATGTAGTTAGATTTGAATAGTTATTTGGTAGTATCAATTCATTTGAGTCCATTTTAGGTATTTTAAAAGGAAATAAAACTCCAGAGATGTTAAATCTGGATTAAAAAAAAAATCAGAGAAGTGTGCCTTGAAAAGAGATACCAGGGGCGCCTGAGTGGCTCAGCTGGTTAAGCGTTTGACTTCGGCTCAGGTTACAATCTCAGGGCTCATGAGTTTGAGCCCCATGTCAGGCTCTGTGCTGACAGCTCAGAGCCTGGAGCCTGCTTGAGATTCTATGTCTCTCTCCTTTTCTGCCCCTCCCCTGCTCGTGCTCTGTCTCTGTCTCAAAAATAAATAAACATCAAAAAATTAAAAAAAGAAAAGCAATACCATTTATTTGTCTTAGAAATTAACTAAACATTGCAAAGGTTAATATTTAAGTATTGGTGAGGGGTGAGGAGAAAGCTACCCTTCTACATGGTTGGTTAAGATATAAATTGTCACAGCTATTTTGGAGGGTTTTTTTGCAAGTGTGCTTTATAAGTTTTCTAGGGCTGCTATAACAGTACTACCAAATGAGTGACTTAAATAGCAGAAATCACAGTTCTGGAGGCTAGAAATCCAAAATCAAGGTGTTGAAAGGATTAGTTCCTTCTCAGTATATGAAGGAAGGATCTGTACCTGGCTTCGCTTCTTGGCTTTTAGAGATGGCTGTCTTCACGTTTATGTGGTTGTTTTCCTTTACATCCATATCTCTTCCCTCTGCATGTCCATGTCCAGATTTCCTCTTACAAAGATAACACTCATTGGACTAGAACCCATCCTAATATGCTCATTTTAACTTGACTACCTCCATGAGGACCCCATCTCTAAAAAAGGCCATATTCTGGGACACTGGGGTTAGGATTTTGAACAAATTTTTGGCAGCACGCAGTGCAAACCGTAATGTGCATTCCCTCAGATTCTGGAATTGTATTCTACAGAAATATCTGCACTAATGTGCAAAGATATTTGTTCAAGGATGTTAAGCAAAGTATATTGATTATAATTTCTATCTTAGATGTCCATTAAAAGGGAACAGGTTGCATAAATCATGATACCTCTATTCAGCAGAACGTGTGCAGATATCCTTAAAGGAACTCTGACTGTAAAAGAAAGGAAATAGGGCCACAGCCAGAGGAAAGCCACAGAGTAGGAGGAGGTTTGTTGTTTTTAATAGATGGGACAGAATCTGGGGTAATTCATATGCTATGGAAGAAAATTCAGAGAAACTGGTTAAATATTCTGGATAAAGGGAGACATTGTGTTGTCCAGAGGCAGCTGGTGAAAATAAAACTATAGTTTCAACATAAGGATTAACTGAATCCCTAACGGGAATAATATGATGGGCAGAACAAAATGCAGGTATCAAACTTGGAATGTATCTCCCTTCCCTACATTAATAATTATAAGTATTCAGATATAGTTAGGATACTACCTTTGAGGTTAAGATTTAAGACCCCATTGTTGGTAATGGTAGGTAATATGTACCATAAATTTAACAGCTTTTCAGGGGAAAAAAAGAAAAGGAAAGTAGATCAACTTTAAGATTAATTTTGATTTGAAAAATGCCAGAACATAAAATCACATGATACCAAAACAATTAAAGAAAAAATGAAGGACTTATATTTTGGCCTCAGAAGGAGCAAATAGTTACTACGTAATATTGTGGAAACTTTAACTTTTTACTTATAATGTATCTGGTATGGCATTTATACCATCATTTCTATAGGAATGTGGGTCCTGAGTTTCTAAGTCAAAAGGAACACTGGATACATAATCCATTTATAAATTTGGAATTTCCTCTAAATCAAACACCTGAGTATAGAATTTGGGATGGGAATTTAGTACTTGATTTGACGAAGATGATGGAGCATTTTGTCTTGTTTTTGCTTTAATATTAATGTGTTTGATTTGTTCCTCTATGGATTTCTACCTCAGAGCTGAATTAGGATGTAGTATCTCCAAAGGGTAAGTAAAAGGCAGGATTAAATAGAGAGCAGTCAAGACTAGACAAAAAAAAAAAAAAAAAAAAAAAAAAAAAAGTCAATGGCAGGGTTTAGGGAGCAAGCTCTTAAGACCTGGGACTCAAAGCATCAAGAGGGATCAAGATTGACTTTCCCTTTGTAGAGGCTGGTCTCCTTCTGTAGATTACTCTTTCTGGAGGTAAAGCATCCAAAGCTCAGTATTTACAACATAAAGCTTAAATGTACAAGAAATACCAATTTGAGAATGGGTTTATGTATCTGGATTTCAAGGCTTAACTTCTGACTTGGGAATAGGATGCTCCTTGACTAGCCTCCTAGCTGTTCATTGTGTTTTCCAAAGAAGATCCCTAAAACTGCTAAGAATGTAAGAGGAAGAAGGCAAGTGGATGAAAAAGGAACAGAAAAGGAAATTAGCTAATGAGGATATGTTATCTAAAATCTTAATAATGTTAATGTTTTGGAAAAGATATGTACAGATACTTTTCTATATTAGTATTCTAAGAAGAATGAACATAAGATGTGTGAACACATATCCAGAGAAAACTGAAAAAGGAAATCAATCTATCTAGATTTTCAGATGTCTCCAGGCACTAACATGGTATTTGGATTCATGGCTCATATCCTTTGTGTGTGTGTGTGTGTGTGCACGCACATGTGTATGTGGCCAAACATTAATAGTCAGAAGGTAACACCAGAGAAATGGCTTTCCACAAAAAAATCAAAATCCTAAGGCACTTTTCTTGGTATCTCTAACACATAGGTCATAGTTGGCACTTAATAAATTATGGAATGAGTAAATGTGTAAAAATACAGCTTGATATGCTTTTTTAAAAAGTTATTATACAGTTCTCAAAATCATACATAATTCAAAAACAGGTAATCACTTGTTTTTACATAAAAACTCCTGGTTACTATGAAATAAAGGTGAACAACTTCACTAGATTAGTATTTGCTCATTGAAAGAAACATAATATTTATTAGCCATGCATATATCAACTCTTACTCCCAAAAGGTAATCACCACTGTTAAAAAAGAGCTTTAAAAATGGCTATATTTGATCATTTTTAGTAATAGTGATAATTATCTTAAATCTCATCTTATTTTCCTGTCTTTGTCTAAAAGAGACAGGAGACTGAGGGTCTGTTCATCTCCTAACATCTTAGATAATGAAGCACTAACCTACATTGAGAATTCTATCTACCAATACTATGATTAATTAAAAATGTGTTAAGACACTTACATTCCTACTTTAGTTTCTTTTATTCCTGGTAGGTACACAGATCTCTCAAACAGTCATATTTGATTTATTTCATCATCGCTACAGCATATATTGGACACAGAATTTCTATTCTATCTAAAAAATTTTATACAAAAGCAGATTTGTCAGATTCTTTTCTGTGGAATATGCATGTGCAGAAATCCATGTGTGCTTATGTTTTAATTACCTAATGCACTAGCTATGAATAAATTGCATGATTACATCCTACATTGGACACAGAACAGTGCAAGATATATTAAAAAGCCATTATATTTGCAACTCTGAGCAAGAGACTATAATTAAAAGGCAATTGGATGAAATTAGCTTAGAGAGTACAAGAGTTTAAGTAGGATTTGGTAAATGAACATTAATGGTTAACATGTGGTTTTTATTGTCTTTCGCTTCTTCTCTCTGTGACCCCAGGGTTGAATTTCTTAGATGTCAGTGGACCAAACATCTGAAAACACCTGTACAAAGCTATGCTTTACCATGTGGCTAAAGTTATATCCATAAAAGAAGCCAACATAACTTTTGTGACTTTAGTAAATCAAAGGTATTAGGTAAGCTAGAATGATACCCTGGGTATTAATAAACTATTTTTAATGCTCCTAAGATCTCGGGTATGTGTCATAAAAGCGTAGTTCACACTTCCTGCAACTCAAAATGTGGTCATAAAATACACATGTACAAGTCAAAGAAGGAATAAAACTTTAAAGAATTTTGATTATCGTGACATTAAATATAAAAAAGTTGTTAAAAGTTATACACAGTATGTGTAATGCCACTTCACCTTTATCTGAGACTACCAATACATCTGCAAACTACGGAAGACTCAGAATGGTACTGATATTTTCACGTGTGGGAGAAGAGGTGGAATCTTTGTGTTTACTTTTCTCTTCCTCCCAGGGAAAGTTGGGGAGTCTATTTCCCTTCCCTTTGTGTTTCCGCTGGTCAGTGAATGCACAGTAAGGTGTAAATGATGCTGTAACAGCTATGCCAGTTCCAGGGCTAGGTTTTAAAAGGCCTGGTAGCTATGGCCCTGCTCTCTTATAAACTAACTGCCATTTAAGAGGTATAGCTACCCTAAGACCACCATCCTGGGCAAAATCCAAGCCACATGCACAGGCCTATAGGATAAAAAATGGAGAGAAAAAGGCCAAGGAGGAGTGAGGTGCCAGACATATCAGGGAAGAAGCCATCTTGCAAGGTCAGCCAGCC